TAGAACACGAGGGCATCCAATGAAGCTGATGGGCAGTAGGTTCGGGATGGACAAAAGGAAAGTCTACTTTACACAGAGAGTGATTAAAACGTGGGATTCGCTGCCAGAGGATGTCGTGGTGGCCACAGGAACAAACAGCTTTGAAAGGGGATTAAACAGATTCATGGAGGATAGGTCGATCATGGGCTACTAGCCATGGGGACTAAACGGAACCTCCACATTCGGAGGCAGTCACCCTCTGAATCCCAGAGTCAGAAGACAGCATCAGCAGAAGGCCTCGGCCTCTATGCCCTGCTGTTGGCCCTCCAGAAGAACTGGCTGGCCACTGTGTGAGGCAGGATGCTGGACTAGATGGGCCACTGGTCTGATCCAGCAGGGCTCTTCTGATGTTCTTATCAGGGAAGGCCTCGGTCTCTCTGCCCTGTCGTTGGCCCTCCAGAAGAACTGGTTGGCCACTGTGTGAGACAGGATGCTGGACTAGATGGACCACTGGTCTGCTCCAGCAGGGCTCCTGTTATATTCTTATCAGGGAAGGCCTTGGCATCTCTGTTGTGGGCCGTCCAGAAGAACTGGGTGGCCCCTGTGAGAGACGGGATGCTGGACTAGACGGACTATTGGTCTGATCCAGCAGGGCTCTTCTGATGTTCATATCAGGGAAGGTCTCGGCCTCTCTGCCCTGCTGTTGGCCCTCCAGAGGAACCGGTTGGCCACTGTGTGAGATAGGATGCTGGACTAGAGGGACTACTGCTCTGATCCAGCAGGGCTCTTCTGATGTTCTTAAGGTGGACTTTGACCAAGCAGCGTAACTAGGCAACAGAATTTTCCCTCCTCAAAAGATAGAACATTCTGGCAGACGGGAAGTCAGGTGACACCAAGATCTGAGTTCCAGGGAGGGAGACACCTGTCCAATCCTGGCTCCCAGTTCGTCACCCCCACACATACACACCCAGCCCACCTGCACCACCTTCCCGGTTGCGGCTCACCTGGCACCAGGGACACAGCGGACGTACATGCAGCTGACCCGGTTCCCGCGGTTGCTCTTGGTCAGGAACACCTCAATGGTGTCCAGATCCCGCTGGTTATACTGAAAATCTGCCCGGTCCGTTAAGTGGAGCTTCCATCGGGTCATGGCGCTACTCCGCAGGGAGCTGCTGCTGGAACTGCCGGACGGTTCCGGTTCCGGGACCACTGCGTAGGTGGGCTCCGGCGGCAAGAAAGCTAACTTGGCAGCGATCCGGCCGGGGCAGGGCGGGCAACAGAAGAGACAACAGAGTTCGCTGACCGAAAGCCCGTTCATGGCTGCTGGTGATGAGTCACAGACTCGGGAGGCGGGATAATTTTTCGGGGGAGAGGGCGGGGAGCAGTAGACCCTCTCCGAGAAACCAGCAAATCCAGCCAGTTAGGAAAGTGTTTCAGCTTCCGGGGAGATAAACAGAACCTTTATGACATGCCTCTCTGGAACAGCCATGGTCGGGGTCTCCCGCATTCCGGCGTAGGGCCTGAGAACCACAGCCACTCTGGCTGAACACATGCTCCGCTGCGCAGCCGCCTAAAGAAGAAAAAGAAGAGATTGGATTTATACCCCATGGCCGTTCACTACCCAAAGGAGTCTCAGAGCAGATTACGAACTCCTTTCCCTTCCTCTCCCCACAACAGACACCCTGTGAGGTTAGAACATAAGAACATAAGAGATGCCAATGTTGGATCAGGCCAAAGGCCCATCCAGTCCAACACTCTGTGTCACACAGTGGCCAGAAATACCAGGTGCCATCACGAGGTCCACCAGTGGGGCCAGGACATTAGAAGCCCTCCCACTGTTGACCCCCCCCCCAAGCACCAAGAAGACAGAGCATCACTTGCCCCAGAGTCCCTATCTATACCTTGTGGCTAATAGCCACCGATGGACCTCTGCTCCATATGCTTATCTAATTCCCTCTTGAAGCCGTCCATGCTTGTAGCCGTCGCCACTTCCTGTGGAAGTGAATTCCAAGTGTTTCCCTACTCTTTGGCTGAAGAAGGACTTCCTTTTATCTGTTCTAACCCTACCGCTCAGCAATTTCATGGAGTGCCCACGGGTTCTTGTATTGTGAGAAAGGGAGAAAAGTACCTCTTTCTCTACCTGCTCTTTCCCATGCATAATCTTATAAACCTCAATCATGTCACCCCTCAGTCGTCATTTCTCCAAGCTAAAGAGCCCTAAGCGCCTTAACCTTTCCTCATAGGGAAAGTGTTCCAACCCTTTTATCATTCGAGTTGCCCTTTTCTGAGGCTGAGGTGGGGCTGAGAGAGCTCTGGCAGAAACTGCTCTTTTTCAAGAACAATTGTGCCAGAATTATGGCTTGCCCAAGGTCATCCAGCAGCTGCAAGTGGAGGAGTGGGGAAATCAAACCCGGTTCTCTCAGATTAGCGTCTGAGCACTTAACACTACACCAAACTGGCTCTCCTAAGTGTTTTACTTAGTCACATACACCATGGTCCGGTTGGTTGCAAGTAATTACTACATCCTCTGGCAGCAAATTCCACACTTTAATCACACTAACGCAGCCAACTAAGGAAGAAGAAGAAGAAGAAGAGATTGAATTTATACCCCGCCCTTCACTACCCGAAGGAGTCTCAGAGCGCCAAACAATCTCCTCTCCCTTCCCCTCCCCACAACAGACACCCTGTGAGGCAGGTGGGGCTGAGAGAGCTCTGACAGGAACTGCTCTTTTTCAGGAACAGCACTGAGAGAACTTGTGACTGACCCAAGGTCACCCAGCCGGCTGCATGTGGAGGAGGAGTGGGGAATCAAACCCGGTTCTCCCAGATTAGAGTCCGCGCACTTAACCGCCACACCAAACTGGCTCTGAAAAAAAGAGAGGAAACTGGTTATCAGAACACCCGGACAGCACACTGATCCCAAATGCGCACATTAGGAAACCCGTGCGCCTCTCCGAAGGTACAAAACCTCCCCAGATGCACAGGAAACACACTCCAGAAACAATGCACACGTGACAGAAGTTCACCTCCAAAGCATCAGCCCCAATGGAATGCGCATGGCACGATTCAGTGTCACAGCTGTAGCTGTCAAACGCAAGGGATGCCGTCTCATCTGGTGTACGGGGGGGGGGGGGACTCCCGCCTTTGCGATTGCAAAATTATTCCAGAGTAGCATGTGGCAACGCCTGGCAGATTCTCAGAAGCCTGAAAGCTTTCTCAAGAAGAATTTTGGGAGGTCAGGGGAACGCTCAGTAGACTGCTTCTCCCCAGTAACCCTGGGAGATTTTGAACCACAAGGTTAGGAGGAAAGGAAACGGCCATTGCGTCAACGCCCCTGGTGAGGCAAGCCTTGGTCGACACCTGTTTGCCCTGATGGCTAATTAGAACCTCCAGGTTCAGAGGCAGTCTACCGTTGCACACAAGATGCCGGGGAACGGGGGGCTATTTTATCGTGCTCCCGCATCCACGCCAGCCATTGCTCCTTTTCTAGATTCCACTGCCACGCCCACACCAGCATTCTAAGCTGAGTTAGCGTGAGCCAGCCCACAGTTTTTTTAGCCTCCGGCTCACACATTTTTGCCTTCGCCCAGGAAGGACGGCTTTCCAGAGCAAACTGATTTATGCCGCAGCCCAATCGCTCGCTCGCAACTTGAATGCCAGGAGCTCTCACCAAGGAGGATTTTTGTTCACAAGACTCCGCAGCTTAGAGGGAGCATGACCCCCTCCCGAGGCATAAAGTCTAGGGAATCCCAAGCAGTAGCATTCCCAGAACGCCCAAGTCCACAGCCGAGACAGAATCACACCCTTCTAACCAACTCCGACAGCCTCCCTCCCCCCTCCTCCCAAACCAAACCACGTCCCAACGGGTCCCTCACCTGTGCCAGTCAGACCACAGGGAGGTGAGTAATTCAGGCGGCCCTGGGCCACGTACTCTCCTCGGCACAAAAGCCCAGCCCCGTGACTCATGAGAAAGGCACACACGTCCCACAGCTGCACCCAAAAGGGGACACTTCGAAACGGCATCCTGGTCAGCATCCCCCCACCCCCCAAAACCCAATCCGGTCCCAGGAAGCCTTTTTGCTGCTGCCATGGAAACGCAAACGTGAGCAAGCTGGAAGAAGAGGCAGGAGAAGGCAACAGAGGAACTGGTAACTGGGATCCTGAGGAACTGTCTTCCGGACAATGCCCCCTCTAAGCTGCGGAGCCTTGTGAGCAAAAATCCTACTTTGTGAGCTCCTGGCATTAAAGCTGTGAGCCAGCCATTGGGCTACTGCACCAAGCAGTCTGCTCTGGAGCCATCCCTTCCTGAGCGAAGACAACAATGGGTGAGCCGGAGGCTAAAAAACTGAGAGCTAGCTCACACTAAACTCAGTTTAGAGGGAACACTGCACCCGGGTAGGCTGGAGAGCGACAGGGGCCGACAGAGGCACACGGCAGGTTCACAAGACTGTTGCCAAGTCCAGATAGGGGGATTCCTGGACATCTGGGGGGGCGGGCAGGGTTTGGGGAGAGCGGGGATCGGAGCAGGTTATAATGCCGCGGAATCCACCCTCCAAAACAGCCCTTTCCTCCAAGAAAGCTGTTCTCGCTGTAGATCAGTGGTAATTCGGGGAGATGTCCAGGAGATTGGCAACCCTGCTTCGCGAGGGTCGCTTCTCCTGCAGGGATCCTTCCTGATCCACCGTAACAACAACAACCTACTACTACATAACTACAGCAACCCTACTAACACCAGCACCATGTGATTTAGAGGGAGTTGTATGGTGGTTTATATGGGGGTAAAAAGGTAAAGGTTTCCCTTGCTCGAAAGCCAGTCGAATCCGACTCTAGGGTTGCGGTGCTCATCTCCGTTTCAAAGCCGAAGAGCCAGCGCTGTCCGAAGACGTTTCCTTGGTCATGTGGCCGGCATGACTAAACACCGAGGCGCACGGAACGCTGTTCCCTTCCCACCAAAGTGGTCCCTATTTATCTACTTGCAATGTCTTGCTTTCGAACGGCTAGGTTGGCAGGAGCTGGAACTAGAGACGGGAGCTCACTCCATCATGCGGCGCACTCGGGTCTCGAACTGCTGAACTACCGACCTTCCACAGCCTGCAGCTCAGCGTCTTAAACACTTGAGCCACCGCAGCTCCTTATAGGTGGGTAGGAAATGGGAATAAGAAAAAGAAGCAGATGCAAACCGGATCTGGATTAAGTTTAATTTGACGGTTATGCAGATGGAATGTAACCTCGGGTTTGTTTTGTTTTGTTTTGTTTAAATTATGAAACGGGGTGTAATATAGAAGAGTATGAAACAGATTTATGAAATACGAAACCTATACTCCATAAAGATATAATTATAAAAAAAAGAATAACACCAACAGCACCTATTGGGTGCCAGCAGCTAAGCGAACCCACATCAAAGCCGGGGCGGGGGAGGGATCCGGCGTTACTTTCCCCCCCGAAAACAAACAAACAAACAACCTGATGATGATGACATAAGCCTGGTCCGGTGCATCTCGGGAAAGGGGGGGAAAAAAAAAGAGGGACCATGCAGTGGAAAGGAAGCAGACACAAGGAGCCCGGGTGTAATCCAGCCCCCCCCCTTCCTTTCCGCGCGCGCGCACACGTCGCACTTTAATCCGATTGTTCCGAAGGTGTCTTTCGGGCCGGGAGAATCCCCGACGGGCCAAAGGGTTCTGTCCTCCTCGGCAATGCAAGGGAAGCTCGCCAATGCACAAAAAGAGACCCCAGACAACACACAGGGGGCTCGCCCACAGGGGGGGAGGCGGCCGGACTGCTCGGGATCCAGCTCCGGGGCTCGCTTGGCGGCTTCCTCCCGGGAAGGCGTATTCGAGGACCGCGCTGACTCGGCGCTCCTCTGCAAAAGCCCGGGCGGGGGGGGGGGGGGGGGGGAGGAGGGG